AACAGTAATTTAAATCAATCATCATATGAGACAAGTACAATGGAATAGCTATCAACCTAGGCAATCCTGGTTGCCATGCTCCCATAGGTTTCCATGGTGTGATGGACTGCCTGTAAGTTCTACAGCAATCTCCATTTTTCTTACATTTTTATTACAAAAATTGGTAGTAGTTCAAGGTATATTGGAGTATTTTAGGTGGCCCACCATCATTTCTTCATTATGAGTTGCCATAAGTCTCCTGAGTAAGGGTCCACTAATCAACACAAACTGGGTCATCAGACATTCAAGTTATCTTGGATAACCTTTGTGATGTTGGAGAAGAGATCAGGACCCCTCCTGAAAATATAAGGATGAGTAGCCTATGCCAGAATAATGCCTTTCAGGAATAACTAGAAAAGGTTTTCTTTCCTTGGTTGTTTTTAATAAGTCCTTGAGTGGGAATGAAATCTTCTTGCAACATCTGATGAGTCACCATGGAGCTGTGACCAACCAAAAATGCTCCCATGTCCTGAAATATGTCATGACCCCATAGATTGACTGGTACATAAGGGAGGACATAAGGTGAAAAATATCCAGAATGGCCTTCTACAGTGTTTCTGGTGAGGAACTCAGCACTTTTCCCAGGGCGAAAAGCACTTCACACCCCCAGTAAGTCTGTAGTGGCCATTCCAGAGGCCATGCTTCAGGCCAGAGGTGTTTAGCAATAATTGAAACATTTATACCTGTGTCTAAAAGCCCTTTAAATATTTTTCCTACAACAGTCAATTCCATCTTATGGTGATTTTCTTTAATATATGGAACCCAATATGTCACAAGCTCCAAAAACTTGGATTCCCCTCCCTTATTTTTGAATTTGCCAATTTTTACTATAAGAAAATTAACCCACTGAGTGATACAAAAGTCTAGGGTGATTTGGACAATGCTTTGGGTAGATTGAATTATACATAACCTTGATTTCCTCTGTATAGTCAGCATTGATGACAACAGGCAAAACCTGGAGACCTTTTAAAATAAGACTGCTGTGGCCTAGCAGGAGTCCCACTGTACTCTGAAGCATGGGTGCACAGTTGCAGTAGGAATAATCAGAGGCCTAATTTCAGGAGTCAATAAGAATGCAGAAAAGAGTCTGAATTCCAGCCCTCTGCTCTCTGTTATCACTTGCCAGCGATCAGAAATGTGCTTGGCAATGGATGGCAGGGCTGGGAGAGGGGAAATTGAGGAAGGTGCCAAGGCAGGCCCCAGCAGAAGTTTTCTTGACTGGATCGACATTCCCCATTGGTTTTAGACTTACACTCAATTCTTCAATGATACCCTCACTGACACTTTGTGAAAAGACTAGAAGGTTTTATTGAAAAGACAGATAATAGCTCTTCTGCCTTTATAGGTAAAGCAGAGAAGGTTCAGGCCATGTGTCCCTTGTCCCCACAATGTAAAAAATAGCCTTGCATTTTCCCTTTTCTCCAGACTGTGGATAAAAACCCTGAATAATTGCTGCTGCCAAGGCAGCCCTTGTACATATGAATGGCCAATCATCTCCAACAACATAGGTAGTCTTACTTTGTGGAAGCTGTTAAAGCCTCTTTATCCCATTTGTATTTCGAAGGCCAGTTGCAGAACTATTAGTTTGCTAGCTTCCATGTTACTTAGTCCTTTCAATAGTTTGCAATAAGCATGCCGCAAAATCTTGAAAAGATTCATCAGAACCCTAATAAATAAAAGCCAAGTTAAGGGATGTCTCACATTTGGAAGGAAGTTTCCTCCAAGCCCTCTTGGAATCCACCTTAGTTTACTCATAGACATAATTCAAAATTCAGTTGATGGGGATAGCAAAGGCACCTTCCTGATTGGCATATATCTTCTGTAATGGCAATGCTGTGAACAGTATTAAAAGCTGCCCGATCTGTACAATACTCAAAGACATTTCCCTTCCACAGAAAATAATCACCTGAATTTAAACATGCTTTTTCTACTTTTTTCCAATGATTTGGGGTCATAATCTATTCTATTAAACTCAAGGTAAAGGGATCAGTTTGGTGATAAGTAGCAACAGATTGTTTTAAATCTGTTAGAGCGTTAAAAGTTATAGCCTCTATACTCTGGTTTCTCTTCAGATTGTATAAATCTTTCACTTTCTTAAAAGGTATAGCCTCCTAATGATGTATAACTTGTCCCAGATTTGGGGGGACTTGAACTGCAGTAACAGGGTAGATATGTCGAAACCGTTTCAAGGATAACCCATCCCATCTGGGTTATTTTGATTCCAATTGTGAGGGAGAGAGAAAATGGCTCTGCTACATGGCAGGCAGAAGTTAGAGCCTGTGACACAGCCAAATTTCCTGGATCAGAAAAGGCTGGGATTATTGCCTGTGGTTCAGTCAACTTTGTGGGGTCCATGAAATAGAGCTTGTGAAGAAACACCTTTCTGATGAGAAAGGATGCCTTTTGTCCTGCACCACTCCTTCCTTGTTAAATTGGGCAACTTTGGAGGACTCAAGCTGCATCAACAATGTCATTTCTCTGCCCTTTTTCTGCTCAAGCACAGGACTTGACTCTAAAATAACGTTCCAAGACAAATCCTATGTGGTTGTAAAAACACTTTCAAACCAAAATCCAAAAATGAAAATTAACTACAGGAGACAAGTATACAAAATACACTTCTACATACATATACACCTGTGATTCTTGAGATTGTATTTGCATAATTTTTAACTACTCGCAACTCAGCATACCATTCTTTTTGGCTTCTCTGAAACCTACATAATTTCTGGCCCTAGTGAACCTGTATCTCCAAGATTTTCCCCTGATGTAGTTATACTGACTATTGGCTCTAACCAATTCACTTTTTTCTCTGGTTACACACACACAAGAAGCATTCCCACAACTAACATTTTCCTACTAGGTGTCTCTCTTCACATTCCAAATATTGCAACTCCTTTGGGCTCTTGATGACCTAGGGGAAAAATAGCAATGAGAATGAGGAAAAGATAGACAAGAGATAAGAGCTAGAGTCAGGTGGAGGTCCCCTCTCTCCCTCTCTCCTTAGCAGAAAACAATTTGCCCAAGAACTGTGGAACTTTTCTTTATATACTCCAGAGGTAGATGTCAGTTTCAACCTCTCTGCACAGCAATCAGTTACCAAGAGGCAAGTCTTGTTTACTTTCCTCAAGAAGCTCTCCATGTTCTCAGGGGGCCTTACTCTGCACCTGTGACTAATGTGCAGCTTCAGCCACCCCAACACAATATCACCCATTTACAGGGTCTTCCTAGTATCTCCTATCTGGCCTCATAGTTGGAATGGAGATGGTAAGGTAGTTGGGCCATAAGACACTTCAATTGCTAGTAATAAAAGCCTTGAAGCAAAGATCAGAAATTGATCTAAGCAACTACATCGAGGACAGCAATGTGTAATGCAAAAAACCATGGTTGAATACCTCTCATCTTGACCTTCTAAATGTGTACCATTTCTAATGTTGATTATCAAGTATTATTATATTCTCTATAAAGTAAAGTTTTAATAAAGTAAAAAAGACAAGAAAAAATAAAGTTTCTTGAAAGCAAACATTAATGATTAATTATTTGGGTTAGCTCAATTGTCTAAAGCACCTGCTTGGGCAAACTCAGTCAGGGGCAAGGGACCACAGTTCAATCTCTAGTACTACACACTGTACCAGACCTGTCCTTAAGGCAGCCTGAGCCAGCCAAAACATAAACATAATCTTTAATCTTTGGAGGATATATAAAAAGGACCATTTTGTAGTGATCACTATAAAACGGTCATATATATATATATATATATATATATATATATATATATATATGTTATGGTAGATATACAGCTACTTTCTCGTAGTTCAATGAGAAGACACGGTTGTGCTAATATTGTTTGCATAAGATATCCTGTCCACATCTTGTCCTCTGAATAACTACCACAAAGACAACAATATGCAATGTATTAATTATTGTAACTGTCCTACTAACCTGTTTTGAAACTGTTTCAGTGCTAATCTTTTTTCTCATTAAGATGAATAAAAAATTTTAAAAAGCAAAAATAATCATTTGTCCAATCTTGCATAACTATGTCTGTTAATCTGAGTGACAGATTTGACAACAAAAATAGATAATGTAACAACCATGGTTAATTAGCTATTCTTGTTTTGAAAATCTGTAACCTATATATTGCTATATGTTGCCCTGTTTCTCTTTGTTTCTGCTATTTGAGTTTGCTTTTGTTTTTACTCTTCAATATAAAATTTAAGAAAAAAATTTAAAGAATAGGCTGAGATTTCACAACACTCAAGTCCCATTTTACAGAGAAGACTGGGCCTCAAAAACTAGTGGGTTGAAGTAGATAGGGTAGTGGCATCTGGTGCCAACAGGGCAGATGCTTGGCTTATTAGCTTCCTGGGTTAGAGAAACTGGGGCAAAATGACAAGGCTTCACCATAGCCAGATGAGGTGCTTGTGCCCTGAGTTGGTCTTCATGGTTCAGAATTGGCTTTTCCTCAGGCACTTATGCCACTGAACTCTCTCCCTAGCCAGAAGGAGACTGTTGAGCTTGGCCTGAGCAAATTCCACTTCCTGGATTTTACTCACAGTAAATCTTCTTGCAGATATCTCAGGATGAGCATTCAAAGCCCCTTGTCTCTGTATAAGCTGGCCAAGCAGAGCCTGCTGAAGCATAAGATCACAGCCAGCACAGCTTTGCATGACCTGCCCAACATGATCTTCTATGACTTATTCAAGGATGCCTTCATGGGGGGACACAATGAAGTCCTGAAGGTGATGGTTCAGGCCTGGCCATTCCCCTACCTCCCTTTGAGGACCCTGATGGACTTGAGGATAGCCAATATCCGACACACTGAGTTTGGAGAAATCATGCCACAAAAGAGAAACCTACAGACCTTACAAGCCATACTGGATGGACTTGATATCCAGCTATCCCAGAAGGTTCAGCACAGGTGAGGCTGATACATCAATACCAGAAGGAGGGTCCTGGGAGTCCCAGGAAGGGACAGTTGGTATCAAGGAGCAAGGCAGAATAGAAGTAGTTTCTGATATTGAGCAGTGAACTTAGGAGTAACTTGCACACCTTCCCAATTTCATGGGGAAAAAAGTTGTATCAATCTGCATGCAAAGGTTAAAAAAGTAAAAAGGGAAGTCAGGAAAATTAGCATTATAGTTGGTGCCCAGGAAGTGGAAGAGAAGCATACGTGGGAAGTCAAGGCTTTATCTCAATTCTTAGGATGCTTGTTGTTTTGCCCTTAGTAGGTGGAAACTGCAAGAGCTGGACTGGAGGGATGTACACCAGGACTTCTGGACTATAGGACCCAGAGCCATGAGTGTTGCTCATTCCAGAGATGTCAGAAATAAGAAAAGGACCAATCTGGCATTAAGTGAAAAGAAACCGACTTTAAGAATATTCACAAACCTTTGTTTCGAAGCCTGGAGTGTGTTATGTGCCACCAATGATCAATTAGAACTCTTCCTCTCAAACTGGGCCATAAAGAGAAGAGCTTCAGTACACCTGTACTGTCAGAAAGTAATGATCAAGTCCAGCACTATCTCTGAAATCCTGAAGATTCTGAAAGCTGTGCAATTGGACTTTATATATGAACTGGATGTGTTTAGTGAAAGGCATGAAAGCATTTGTTCATCAGCTCAAGAAGATGATAAACTTTCGAATATTTCACTTTCATAGCCTGCATCCAGAGCTGTTAACTTCACCATCAAAAAACAACTGGTATTCCCGCATCTATGCTTTTCACTTACAACAGCTGCAAAATCTCCGAGAGCTTCATTTAGACAAAGTCTTTTTCCTGAAAGGAAATCTTCATATTATCATCAGGTGAGTGGATGGTGGGTTCCCCCACATATTCATGCTAGCTATAAACATTGAGTGCATCTGTGTGCCCCCTGACATAGGGAAAGATACAAGAAAGTGAGAAATCCAGCATTATCTGAACCATAGGAGTGCCTCCCATAACCTCTCACATAAAAGCAGGGACTAAAGCAGTCCTATGTGTGGAAAGCCAACAGTCCGGAACAGACACAGCAAGAGCAGATTAGATTTCTTCCTTAGGCAGCCTGTCTGTGTAAGGTGCTAAGAAAAGGGAACTGAGAGCACTAATGGAGGGACAGTCCCCACGCCTGCACACTGAATAGGTTATTGTGCTTAGTTAGCAGCTCTGATGGTTAGCAAGCCCTTATCCAAGTGATTCTTATGAAAAGCTACAAGGCTATTTCTTGGTGCCATCCACATCCAGGGTGGTGCTGCCCTCATCAGTAATTCTAACCACCACCGCCCTGTAAAGCCAGTTATTGGACTGATCTATGTACCACTGCCATAATGCAACCACTTCCACAAAGCCCTACTGGTGAGTGCATATGGTTTTGCAGTAACAGAAAGATAGCCATAGCAGTGTTCATAGCCAGGCAATGAGCAGGTGGGAAATGCAGTCTGCAGCTGAGAGTGAGGAAGAAGAGTGCAGGGCTGGACACAGAAATGCAGACTTTTCAGAGGACACAGGACCAACTCCAGTCCATTATACAAACATACCTGAGTTCATTCTTCCTTCAAGTCCCCTACTGGCCTCATCTATGCAGAGCTGTGGTTTTCTGCTTGCCACTGAGCATAGGGCACTCGGGAGAATTGGGATTGAGCCAATCACACAGGTAATGGTGTCTTCAAGTGATGGTGTGCCTTCCACACACAGAATCCTGGTGATCATTGTTTGGTGAGGGCAACACTGGGGCTACCCTGCTGCTCCTACCTTGAGGTCATTTCCTGATGCCCCACACTCATCATCCCCATTCATACAAAGTAATTTTTTTTCTCTCAGCAGGATCCAGACCCCCTTGGAGGCCCTCTCCTTGAATTCAAGTCCACTAAATGAATCTGACCTGAAGCATCTGTCCCAATGTGCAAGCACAAGCCAGCTGAAGTCCCTCACTCTGGGGATGATTTCAGTGAAATCATTCAATCCTGAGACCCTACAGGTTCTGCTAGACAAACTGGCCAACACCCTGGAGACTCTGGTACTAGAGCACTGTGACATCATAGACTCCCAGATCCTGGCCCTCTTGCCTGCCCTCGGCTGCTGCTCCCAGCTCAAGACTTTCAGTTGCTATGGGAACCCCTTATCCCTGGGCATCCTTCAGGTCTTGCTGCACCAAACTGCTGGACTAAGCCAGTTAACTGAGGGTCTGTATCCTGCCCCTCTGGAGAGCTATAACTCCAATATTCCAACACAGTTTGTTCACCATGAGAAATTTACCCAGGTCTGTGATATATTTGCACAGGTCCTGTGGGACATAAGACCAACTCTTAGGGTCAAGATCTGTTCCTACTCCTGTGATCTGTGCAAGATGTGCCAATTCTATAGCCCGGGACCCCGAAGGAATTGGAAAGTCACAAAGGAGTGTCGCGATCAAAGTAGCATTAGAGTGCACAGTTGTCTGTGTCCCCTTCTTGCTAAGGGTATTTTCTGAATCTAGATGTCCCCACAAAATCTCCTGCACTGACAAATGGGATTTCAGGAGGTGAGTTCCTCATAGGGTATGGCATTTATCACTGGATTAGTCCATTTAGATTATACCTTAATGTGATGTTGGGAAGCAAAGCCTCACCAGAATAGGTAGATAGGGCATGGCCTATCTCCCTCACTTCTCTGTTCATCTCTGTCTCCTCCCCACAGCCAGATCATGAGCTCTTTTTCCTCTGCCTTGTACCTCTCTCATGCCATCCAGTGAACTGAATTATAAAACACACTAAATCTTTTCTCTTTGAAATGGTGTTACCTATTGTTTACCAGTAAATAGGGAAGAAATAAAGATGTGCATATGTTAGTCCTGTAAGGATGCCTGTCAAATGTTCATAAAGGGAACTTTGTTAGGTATAAAAACCATGTCCATAATCCTTATGCTTTGCAAACTGAGGCAGGAGTATTGCCCCAGATTTGGGGACCTTCCTTAGCTTTACAATGAGCTGTATTTCAAAAATGTAAATAGATAGATAGATAGATAGATAGATAGATAGATAGATAGATAGATAGATAGATAATAGACAGACAGACAGATAGATGATACATAGATAGAATCTTAATAAAAACTCTTTCATTATAACCTAATAACTTGATTTTTTATAGGAAATATGTTGATTTTTGATCATTCCAATGAAAAAATTACCTTAGTCTTTCTTAGGGCTGATCTCTTTAGAGATATAAAATATTCATCAAAATTATGACCCACATTAAGAGTAACATCAAAACTTCTGTATAGTATGCAATAGGAATTCCCAATAACAAAACAGACATCAGATCTCACCTGTAAAACAAAAGGAGCAGAGGCTAAAAATGTAGTTCTGTAAATGCTTACCTAGAATGTACAAGGCCCGAGGCTCAATCTTCTGGACTACAAAAAAAGGAAGCATTTGTACAATTATAAGCAGTAGAAAACATAGATTAAAAAAGTCTAACAGAGCACACATTGCAGAATGGAATCAGGAAACTGCGACACCCATCCTGACCATAAGTGTCCTCCAGGATGGTGCAAAATATGGCCTTGAAAAGAGGCTGAGATGTGACTGCTTCTGTCTGGAGAATATGTATGCCCTCTGGAAATGGAACTCATGGGACTTCAGTGTGCCAACATCAGCTGTTTGTTTAATTTCTTGCCCACATGATAACATCCAAAAGTGCCAAGGAGCAGACAGCAGCAGGCAGTATTTAGCTTTGACTTCTGCAGATGTAACACCAGTTCTTCATCCTCTGCTGAAGGCAGGCCTGTATCCAAGGGCTCTCAAGTATCCCACTTGGCCTTCTTTCTATGGTGACTTGTTGGTCCCATGGGTTCTACTTCACTGTTGTTGCTTTTCTTCACCTCCTGTTTCTGCTTGGTGTCACTGATCTTATCTTCAATTTCTTCACTACTTGGTTCTTCCAAGCTTCTGTGTTTATCTGTATCTGGAAGTGTGCTTGGATAAAATCCTTCATCACTATCATCGTCCAATCCAGAAAGGCCTCCTCTTCATCTTTGCCCTTTGTTTGTCATTTATTAGCTTCTCTTCTGGCTTCTCTTTCCTTTAGTCTTATTTCCTGATGCTTTGCCTTAATTTTCTTCCTATACTTTTTGTCAAATTTGTCCTCTTCCTGAAGCCTTTGCTTTATCTAATTTCACCAGAGTCATGATCTTGCTCTGTATCCTTGGTGGCAAATTTCTGCATTTGTGGCCACTGCTGAACCAACTCTCCATCATCAGTAAATGTTATTTTTTATTCACTTTAAATTTCTCTTCATAGCCCCGCCTCCTTCCTTTCGGCCGGAACCGCCATCTTCCAGTAATTTGCCAAAATGACTAACACAAAAGGCAAGAGGAGGGGAACCCGGTATATGTTTTCCAGGCCTTTTAGAAAACATGGGGTTGTTCCTTTGGCTACATACATGCGAATCTACAAAAAGGGTGATATTGTAGACATCAAGGGAATGGGTACTGTGCAAAAAGGAATGCCTCACAAATGTTACCATGGCAAAACGGGAAGAGTCTACAACGTTACCCAGCATGCTGTTGGCATTGTTGTAAACAAGCAAGTTAAGGGCAAGATACTTGCCAAGAGGATTAATGTGCGTATCGAGCATATTAAACACTCAAAAAGTCATGATAGCTTCCTGAAACGTGTCAAGGAAAATGATCAGAAAAAGAAGGAAGCCAAAGAGAAAGGTACCTGGGTTCAGCTGAAACGCCAGCCTGCCCCTCCCAGAGAAGCACACTTTGTGAGGACCAATGGAAAGGAACCCGAGTTGTTGGAACCCATTCCCTATGAATTCATGGCATAAACTGGGGACGTTGCTCTGCCATTCAGCACCTAATTGGCAGCTTAAGTGTTCTAGGTCCTATGTAAAATTAAAATCATCCTGTGTTGTAAGGGTGGTTTTCTTAGTTGAACAGGTATGTGGTGCCTTCTTACCTCAGAAATATTTGCAGCAGATTTTCACTGTACCCAGTAATTGTGTCTAACCTTTACTCTTCAGTATTTTCTTGCTGAAAGATACTGCTGAGGTATTGCGCAGGTGTATACCCAAAAATTCAAATATTTATAAAGTATTTATATTGGCTTGAAGATCCTGTAAATCATCATGGGGAAAAGATGTATCAAAATAAATGGAAGTCACTTCAGAAACAAACTTAAGTCCATTTCAGTTAAATAAATTGTTTAAAGCAAAAAAAAAAAAATTTCTCTTCATAATTTTTTTTTTGCTTCTGCATTTTGTTACTTTTTTCTTGACACTAGATTTAGAAGTTTGCATCTTCTGTAATGCTTTGTTCTCTTTAAGATCGAGCCCAAACACATCATGCCACTTCACTTTAAGAAAATCATCAGTTCTATCTTATTCCTCATCATCTCTGGCCAACCTACACAGGGACATCCTTGTCCTCCTGTCCCTCATTAGTGTTAGATACAGACTGAGGTCCTCTTTCTTTTTCAGGTTTCTCTTCCATTTCTTCATCTTTCTCCTCTTCTTCTGGTTCTTCATCACTAGAACTACTATCCAGTCTGTTCTGTTTCTTCTAGGTCCATCCCACCTTCCTGTAAGATGGACATTTTCTTGCTGAAATAGGCTCTGAATTCTTCTACTTGCTCATTGGTGAGGGATGGAGCACTGTGCTCAATTGTTTTGTTAGCTTGGCTCCTCACCCCTTCTGTGGTGAGCTGTTTTTGCATTTTCTGAAGAAATCTTATTCATGCTGCCACAGCAAGATCAAAAGACAATGCATATTCTGTAACAGGAAGCTTGCTCACATCAAATACTTCTTTATGCTTCATAAGATATACTCAACATATGAAGGAGACAAAACACCTTTGAGCTCTTTCTTTTAAATCTTGATCTTGGGCTAAAACGGATTCCAATTTTTCTGGATTGATTTTGAATTGCTTCACAGATACTTTCTTCTGGAGAAGCTGCAGCACCATCCCCTGCTTTTCTGAGGGAAGTAAAATTAATAAAGCGTCATCATCCTCCTTGTACCTGTCAGTTCTACCTGCTCTGTGAATATATGTGTTGGCATCCTCTGGATAATCATACTGAAGAACCCAATTCACAGTTGGGAAATCTAATCCCCTGGATGCAATGTAAGTAGCAAAGAGCACTGCAGCTCTGTTGAGAACAAATTCATTGTAGACCTCCATTCTTCTCATCTGCTGCTGTCTGCCTTGAGAGCAAGAATAGAAACACCAGGACACAGCTGGCAGAACACTCGGAACAGACACTGAACCTCTTTGCAACTGGAGAAAAATATAATACTCTTGTTCAAATGGCTTCTCAAAGATGAACATAGTACACTTATTTTTTCCTGCAGTTCACAAACTATGTAGTTCTATTCCAAAGTGGCGGGCGTGCTACATTTTGCTTTTTCATGAACCCAGACATACTTGTTTTTCAAACTCAAGTGTGCAAAGTCCTTTACAGATTTGGTATGTATTGCTGAGAAAAGTAAAGTCTGGTGTTTCTTGGGAAGATTTTCAATAATAGCACTCATGGTATCAGTGAAGTCTGGAAATGACTGGTGGGTGAGAAAGCACATTAAAAAGCCAATTCACGCTACAGTCCTCAGCTTGGATTGGCATTCCAACAAGGTTTTGCTGGCAGAAGGATCCTGCGATTTCAAATGCAGAGTGTTTTCTGCCTACATTAAAGAAGTGGGTGAAAAGTCAGCCAGTACACCCTGGGGGAGCAAGATGCCTTTTGGCCAGCTGATGTCAGTTTGATAGCAGTGGCACTGGTGGCTGGGTCCATGGGGTCAGCTTCTCTGCCAGTGGGAGCCGCCTGGCTTGGGTCAGTCATGACAGCACCATGTCTGTTGCTGATGCCTTAAAAAGTGTGCACGTGTCCACTCTGAAAACCTAGTTCCTGCCACTCCTGAGTGTCGTTTATCTCCAAGTACAGTGTTGTGGCTGTGGCCATGACTGTCATCCAATGCTTTTTAACTATGATGCCCACAGCTACTTGACCTTCATGTCCAAGCTTGACATTCCAAAACAGAGCATTCAGCGCAACATGTCTGCCATGGAACATTTCCACAGCATGGACAAGAGAGCAACCACTGAGGACCGCAGTGCAGCTTTGAAGACACTGCACCAAAATAGCATCACTCACGTGTCTATTTATGAGGTGGACAAGCAAGATTGTCACGAATTTTGCACTACTGGCATTGATGGAGCCATGCCAATTTGGGATTTCAAGACCTTAGAGTTCTTAATCCAGGGCCCTGAGTAATGTGCAGCTGAGCAGACCCACCACCCAGCATGAGAGTGGCAGCTAAGCACAGCCCTGCCATTCCTTCGTATGACAGTGAGGAAAGCCAGCCCAAGGAAATACTGCACCACATCCCATGCAAATATTGTTTTTGTTTGAATATAATTGGTGAGTGTTGGTGCTTTAAA